ATCACTACTAGGAACAAAGGGCATCACTACTAGGAACAAAGGGCATCGCTACTAGGAACAAAGGGCATCGCTACTAGGATCAAAGGGCATCGCTACTAGGAGCAAGGACGCTACTAGTAGCTCCTGGCCTTCTACTAGTAGCAAGAAGCTACGAGTAGTTGCTACTAGTAGTAAGGCCAGGAGCTATTAGTAGCTATGTGCTACTAATTACTAATAATCAGTGGAGCTGAGCAACTTTGCTCCAAGGTGTGGCCCTACATGTGGAGACGTGGAGGACAGATGATTAGGAGAGGAAAGATACGAACAGGAGAGGACAAGAAGAAGCAATTTGTCTAGTAGTTTCTTGTTACCAATAGAAATGCCCTGTGTTACTAGTAGCGATGCCCGCTACTAGTAGCTGGAAAGGCTTTTTTTGGTGCTTTATTCTTCTACTTTTCCTACTGTGGATTGGAAACGGAAAGCAGACGCCTAAAGGATTCCGCAGGTCGAGTCTCTCAAAGCAGGAGCCAAAAGGAACCTTGAATCAGAAGGGCTGTTCTTTCAGATGTTTTGAAGAACCCTTCGCCCCGGATACACTGGGGTATAGTCCCTAGTCATAGTACCCTTCTGCTCTTACCAGCTTTACGGCCTTTTGCGGCCCGCCCGAGAAGAATTGAACAGACACAAACCTGCGTGAACAACAATGACAACAGTTTCTGGGCGATTAAGAACACGACTAGTGAGCATGGGGTTCCTTGACATTGAAGAAACCAGAACTTGTCCCGTGCCCCCGGATCTAGTACCTATACCTATCTAACACTTTCCGCGGTTACCCACCACACAACGATCACGGGGAGAGAGAAGTTGATTTAACAACATTGCAAGCACCAGGTCTTATGTTTTCTTTTTTCTCAAAGGTCTTGTTTGTCAGTTTGGTTCCTCTTGAGGGTGATGTGTCCACCATCGCAGTGTTGAGACCGCCTCTTGTGCTCCCGAAGGATCAGCAGGTTGTGACACCAGAAGGTCATGTCCACGTTCGATACCCGGCAAGACCATGGGAAATGCTGAGGTGAGCCGCAGTTGGTTCGTTTGAGCACTGTCGCATGGAAGCCAGCTGTGGGTTTTGACTGATTCTGTTCCTCAACGCAGTTCAATCGAAAGCATGTTGCATGTTGATTTTAAGAGTTAGCTGACTGGGGGCGTTCATCCAGAGTGATGCATGTTTTCTATCGTGATGAACTGCTTCAACACCCCCCAAATTTTAGTGACCCTGACCCTACCCACCCCCTTTCACACCTGACCGTCATGATCATTAGGACATGGGCACATTAGTACAAATTGCTTCGAAAGTGTTTCTTTGGAGAACTTCTTACTAGTAGGTTGGAGGCCATCCCTAGTAGGTTGGAGGTTGGAGGCCATCGCTAGTAGGTTGGAGGCCATCGCTTCTAGGTTCCTTAAAGTCTTTTATATTTTTGCCGTCCACATCCTATGCTCGGATGTTGCAGGTACCAGCTTGCTGCGGAAATCCTTCAAGAAGGGCAGCTCACCTGGCCTGGCCTGTCCAGGATAGCACCTCCGTTGCCGCTTTTGCTCGCTTTTTGTTTGCTGTTGTTGTTTGGGGTGGAAAGAGAAATAGCAGAGACGATGCCAGAAACTCCATGTATGAAATCGGAAATCTTCCTAATTGGCCTAATGCTCTAATGCTGGCCGTCAAAGTTGCCCAAACAAACCAGTTGATTTGTCCTGCTCTTTTCATCCCGGTAGGATCTTGTGTTTGGAATGTGTTATTGACAACAGGGAAGAAAAGAATCGTCAGGGCCTTAAGATATCTTAAAATGATAAATTTGTCCGGCCCCCATCGCTACTAGTAACAAGTGCCTTACTAGTAGTAACAGGTGCCTTACTAGTAGTAACAAGAAGCTATTAGAGATTGGTTTGGACATTGCGTCATGGCCGCCTTCAAGACCTCCTACGCTGGGTACCAACTGTCAGATCCCCTTTCGTCCCCTAGGTTTTGTGCTTATTAGGGGGCCTGCAAAAAGTCCACGCTTCTCCCTGACAAGTTCAAATAAACAAACCTAACAAAAACTGTTTGCTTGAGGTTGACTTGCTGTCTAATTTGCTAGCTGCATGTGATGGATATCTTAAAAGCGAAGAATCAATGTTTACCAATATCACTAGAGGGTGTGTAGTGTGTAAAGAAAAAAATAATTAACATGAATTAACATTGTCGATAATAGGTACTTGTCATTTTTGGCGGGTTTACTTGATTAGAAGTTGGGTCACCTACATATACAGCATATATTATGTTGCATACATGTATGTCTCACTGTAGCGGTTTTTCTAGCTTTGTTCAAACCTGAAAGACTTCAGAGATCAGGTGAAAAGATCGTCCTGCTGAACTTCTACATTTGGGTACTGTATAGTGGTCTCAGTATCACTCAAGTTTAATCGGTTAATTCACCGTTCATGCTAGGGGAGCTGTCGTTGTAAGAGCTCAGCTGCCGCATCGAAGGATACCCGGATGCCTTTAGTCAGGGCAAGCAAGAAAGGACAAGCTTCAGCACAAGGAGCACAAGTTCCAGCAGATGGACTTGTGCAACAATTGGCACAAGTGATGTAAGGGCTGCGGGGCAAAGCCAATTATAAGGAGCTATGGGCGACCTATACACTTCAACATACAGCCAGCAGCAAGATCGAAGCAAGTGTGTGTTCGAGGCCGAGCTCAAAGGCCCCCCAAAGCCCAATCAACTCAGTTGACAGGCAGCGGCATGGAACTCCTGGCGCTTTAAGTTCAACACGGTGGGTTGAGAGATGCATGGGACTCCACGCCTAGGAAAAACTGGCAAATGCATCCAGGCCCTGGAAGAGCATCAGGATTCAGAGATTACTGAGACCGTTTGCTCCGTACTTGCACTTCACATAAATCCGTCACGATTTGATGATAGCTCTGTTGAGTTTGTCAACACCCAGGGACCGTAGGGAGACCATAGGGACCCACTATGTCAGCAATGTTCCATGACTGGGGCCGATTTTCCTACCCAGCCCAATGAAGCTACGCCAACCACCGCTTAACACCAAAAAACCTTTTAACACCAACCACCCTTTTTCCACCAACCGCCTTTTTACACCAGCCGCTTTTTTACACCAACCCTGCTCCTGAAAGACGTTTTGGCTTTCAGCGCTTGAAGAAAGCGCATGTGCCAACTTTGCAAAAATGTACAACCTCTGAATTGTAAACCCTCCAACCTCGAGAAAAGCATGAAAAGTAGAAACCATGGACCATGAGAATTACCAATCTCCATTGGCAAGTGCTGGCCTGCCATCGCACAATCGTTCGCGCACACACTGTGCCATGTCGCTCTAAAATTCCGTTCGGTAATCAAATGATTCGATAAAGCTTTTGATAACTATGAACCTTTTTGGTTGTGAAACTGTTCCCAAAGGCCCGCCGGCACTTGGTTTTTGACCACGTTCTTTTACTACAACCTTGCTCGTGGACCTCGCGGCGTTTACATTAGGGGATGGGAGTCTAAACGCGCACATTCCTGCAGGATCTGGTTTGGCCTTGATGATGACTGGACGACAGCTATCTTCAAGAAGGCGGACAGCGTTGTCATGCCGAGATGCACGACAAGATACGGCGCGTGGTGTTCGAAATTTGAAAATTTGTAGGTTCCACTCGAAGCCACATCTGAGTGCAATGGCCTTGGCTCTCCTGATGTAGGTTGTTTGAGCGAAGCATGAGTGTTTGACAATATTCTTCGCGTGTCCCACCGGAGGTTTTCCTGGTCACCAGTTTCTACGCATGGCAAGTGCCGAGGGCTTATTAGGTCCCGGTAGGTCAGTCCCTATCCAATTCCGAACCAGCCCGGGCACCGAGGCAGCTTACAATTTCGGTTCCCGGCTGAGCTGTATACCGTTTCTGGTTACTTGGGCAATGACCGCGTTTTCATCCCTGATGAGCGAGGCATTCCCAGCGCCGAAGAGCAGGAAAAAATGAGAGCCGATCTTGTGAAGGCTGTGGGAGTGAGAGCATTTTTGAGCAAGTTTCTACTAGCTTCTTGTTACTACTAGTAAGGCACTTGTTACTACTAGCGTTGCACTTGTTACTACTAGCTTCTTGTTACTACTAGTAAGGCACCTGTTACTACTAGCGGACTAGCGTGGCACTTGTTACTAATCATGAATCATAACTTAATAATTGAATCTTCTCTACCCTTCTCTGCCATGAGTGAGAGCATTTTTCTTTTGACCCCCAACCCAAAAATTGCAAGCTGAATTGGCATGCATCGCGCAGGTTGAAACTACGGTTCTGCAAACTTCACTTTGTGGGGGTTGGCCAATATTCGGTTTGCTTGCCAAAAACTGAGAATCTACCAGAATGAGAAGGGAAAAAGGAAAAGATATTTATTCAAAGTCCAAGCAAGTTATTTGTTCATCAAGTGTTGTGGGTTGCACGTTTGGCATTGGCGCGCATGTTTGTGTGTGGGGTTCAATCATGTTGGTGCATCCGCCACGTCCGCTGGCCTTTCAAGTCTTGGCCAAGCAGCTGTTGGTGTTCATTGCGACGTTTCAGGACTCTCCATGTCTGGCTCCTGGGATCACATGGGCCAAACAGAAAAGGATTCACGGCCTGTGTGCACCAGTCCCAGGCTGCATCTACAGCAGTCTCCGGTTTTGAGGCAAGTGCATCCCAGACTCGAACCGGAGAACATGTGCTTGCAAAGTGCTACAGCACTGGACTCGCTGTCGCAAGCGCCGTTCATGAACTCCACATCAAGACGGTGATGTGTTGAAGGCTCCCAACATGGGGCACTACATGGAAGCAAATGACGTTGGCCAGGAATTGAAGTCTCACGGAAATCAATGTCTTGGCTAAGTGAAGCGCTGCCTCGTCTTTATGCTCACGGCTTACGAAGTGAAAACTGGACCACTTAAGGTGTTCCTGGGGTTTCTTTAATACAATGCGCAGGTCGCGGCAGCGCCTCAAATGTTTAGATGTCGCATGCCCGCACGTTGATCGACTTCAGGTTGCCTCAGACCTTGTTTGTGTACTACTGGTGGAAGAAATCCTGGACCACACATTGCCCAAAACACTGAACATTGATGTTAAAACTGTGGTTTTCCTATGTTTTCCTTATCCCAGCACTGCTTGGGCCTGTGTTGGGGATATGTTAAGCGACTTATGTTGAAAAAATCTGCCGATACATTTTTCGACGATTTTTCCTTCCCACAAAGCAAAAACCTTGGAAAAACCTACGTTTTTTTACATCGCCAAGATGCAAAAAAACAGTGTTGTTTATACCTCACACGCACGAAACACTGTAAATTACAGGGGCTTCAGTGAACCGGAAGTGACGAGGGGGTCCACCCGTTTTGGGACCGAGGGTCGGCGGTTGGGGGGCGAGCGTCTATAACCTTAGGTTACCACCGAAGGCCTCCGACGAGGACACGGGCGCGTGGCCGGCGCCCGGATTTATAGGGCTACCCCCCCCACAGCAGGACGAGATTTACAATTCAAATAATGCAAAAGGTTCGAACCTGTGAGGATCGAGCGCGCGCCTCTCCATGAGCGGTGAACATTTGTCTGGATTGCGTACTGGGGCCAACATACGCCAACATAGGCCCAACGTCGGCCCAACCTAGGCCGACGTAGGCCAACATACGCCTAACATAGGCCAACATAGGCACAACATAGGCTCAACATGGGCCCAAGATGTGCCCAACATAGACCACATGGGCCCAACTTGGCCCAACCTAGGGCGAAGATGCGCACCAGATAGCTTCACTTTGCTCAATATAGGCCCCACCAAGGCCAACATAGGTGTGACGCACGCCCCACAGACCCAAGTGGGCCGGCGCCCGGCTGTTAGGCGTAAGCCTTTAATAAATAGGTGGCTAGTTCAGCACTACTAGGCTATCGGACGCTTCTTTAAGGAAGGTCCTCAGCGCCTTTTTGGGCGAGGAGAAGAAGCCTGAATGATTTGGTTCCTAGAGTTTGTGGAAATGCAATGAAATGCATCATTTTTGATCAGGAAGGAGATGCATGCCCAACTCATTAAACTATCATCATCTCGTCCAATACGATACGGTGATACGTGTCAAAAACGTCGCCGTTTGACGTCTTCGTGAGACAGAATTGCTGCATGTTGCAATGACAACATTTGCAAATAAGCGGTCGCGAACCTCCCTAACCTTCGCAAGCTGGTACAGTTTCCAATTTGGATGGATGTTTTAATACTGATCGTTGTGGCTAAGGCTTTGCTGACTCCAAATTCCAGTGGACAAAAGCGAGGCCTTGAAATCCACTCCTCACATTCAGTTTTGTACCTCCGCCTTTTGCCAAGTCTAGCCAAGAGACAAAGTGTGTTTGGCAGTTTGATTTGGCGACAAAATGAGAAACACCGTATTTTTCAAATCCCACACACTGCGAGGAGTGGCTCCATTCGATGGATCACCAGACAGAGAAGGCCCAACTTCCGGCAGGGGATGATGCAGTATTCTGCACAGGCTGCAAGAGCTCGGATGTTGGGGTGTGCGACCAAAACCCCCGTCAGGTGATATCTAATTCTGCAGTGCTAGGCCTCTAGGCAGACGCCCCACCAGGTTATATTTTGTACTCATAAGATGACTCTATATAGGAGCAAGGCATCGCTACTAGGGGCTCCTGGCATCGCTACTAGGAGCGATCGGACGTTACTAGGGGCTCCTGGCCGTACTACTAGGAACAAGAAGCTAGTAGAAACAATAAGCTACTAGGAACAAGTGCATCGCTACTAGTAACAAGTGCCTTACTACTAGGAACAAGAAGCCACTACTTAGGTTGGAGGCCATGGCTAGTAGGTTAGTGGCCATGGCTTTGGCCATTGGCCGACGACTTTTGCTTTGCTCCGCCCCAGTCCGCCGGGGCCAACCATGAGCGAACACCGAACACCGGCGACCCACACACCCATGGGGTGAGCTCTTAGGGCTACAAACAAGCAACCTTAAAGCTCCGAACAATCAATCGCTGTGGGTTCATTATCTTAGTTGGGATTTCAAGGAGTCTTGCACAAGTACATCACGACTTTCCATACGCAAGCAGGAAACGCTTGCAGTGTTTGCATTGCAGGATTCCCATTGGAGGTGCTGACCGGACCTGAGTTTCCAGAAATTCTGCATCTCGGTGGCAAATCGTCCATTTCCGTTCCTTCATGTGCCTTCAGATTCTGAAAACGAGGACGCCGGCCTTTGACTTTGCCCCTTTGTAGACTGGAGCGTTTGTGGTTTCTGTTTGGTTGTCTTTTAATACCCCTTTCTCTTTGGACCCGATCTGAAGACCTTGTTTCTTTACGTCTTGGACTTCACGACAAAGACTAAGACTTTCTTCTTTCTTCTTCCTGCTGCCTCTTCAAGCCGCAGCAACACCTCGATTGATATCGCATTTTGTGTGGCCCAGGAAGAACTTGAAAAACTGCACGGCGACCTCATGTGTTCAGCTCCCTAGACTATTGGAGGCCTTTCGGACGGTCGCCATTTAGTACATACTACAAGAGCGATGGCCTCCAACCTACTGTAGCGATAGCCTCCAAGCGACTGATGCTACTGTAGATGGCCTCCAAGCTGGTTTTTTGTACCGATATGATGTTTTCATGATGTGTTTCACACGATGTTTTTCGGTGTCTTCAGGTTCAGCACATTCAATCCATGGCATTGCTTGGTCTGGGCACATGCCCTCCTGGATCAGTCATGGCCTGGTCGGGGCCACAGAAAGGTGATCATCTCAACAGGCGCACAGGGAAGCTGTTGCACACAGAAAACATATTTGTATATATATATATATGTTTTATGTAGTGTGGGTGCATGTATACATAATACAATATATAATATACTATATATATATAAGTATACATACAGATATGTATTTTTTGGAGTTAGGGTTGTGGGATTCCTTCAGTCTCCAGAGACAGTCCTTGTGACTTTGAGGATGGACAAGTTGGAACCAGTGCCTTCCATTCCGCTTTGCGTGAGGTGCTTCGCGGGGCCTATAGTTACTATTAGTAACAAGAAGCTACTAGTAGCTCCTGGCAGTACTGCTAGGAACAAGAAGCTATTAGGACATATAGATTAATATACATCCACGGCTATGTGGTGTTTCAAACCTTCGCAGATTTCGCTTCGCAGGACACAACAAGATGTGGTGAGTGACACAATCAAGCGCCAAGGCCTACACAAAGGAACCCAGATGAACCTTGCGTGGGAACTCCTTGCGTGGATCAGGAAAATGGCCCGAGTGCTACGAGCTCTTCAGCATCGTTGAGGCTCCGCTTTGTGAGTACATTCGGTCCAACCCGTCTTGTCTTTGTAATCTGAGGTTGCTGGATGGCCAGACTGCTTGGTGCTAGATGTGCCATGCCGCAAAAGGGTTTTGCTTGGAGTTTCAATAACAACATCGAAGAAAAATATGGAAGCTTGTTTTATTATCTACTAGAATCACCAGAACCAGTTCCTCATGCCGTGCCTTGAATTTGAGGTGGGGGCCAACTTAGGCAGCTGCAGCATGGTTCTAGTGAGGAGCGGCTACCAGGCGGCTTTTCTCGGCCGCTCTTCGCATCACGTCGAATGAAAGAGCAGGGCATTCCAAGTCCTATTAGGTTGGAGGACATTGCAATTCGGTTGGAGGCCATTGCAATTAGGTTGGAGGCGATTGCAATTAGGTTGGCTATTAGGTTGGAGGCCATTGCTAATAGGTTGGTGGCCATTGCAATTAGGTTTGCTATTAGGTTGGTGGCCATTGCTAATAGGTTGGTGGCCATTGCAATTAGGTTGGCTATTA